TAGAAGAAACCATCCTGAGTGAGGTGACCCAGTCACAAAAAGACAAATATGATGTGTACTCACTCATATATGGATTTTAGACATGGATCAGGATAGTGCCAGTCTGCACTTCCACTGACAGAGGGTCTGGGAAACAGGAAAGAATCTAAGAGAGATATGCATGGTACCCCAGAGAAGAGGAATGAGGCAAGATCTTCTGAACAGATTGGGAACATGGCAAGGGGGGGGGGGGAGTGGGAGCTGGGAAGAAGAGAGGGGGGAGAAGAGGAAGAGAGAGTTGATCATGGGGGAACAGGAAGTTGAGGGGGTGGGGGTAGAATAGAGGGAAGAGGGAATCATAGGTCAGAAGACAGATCTGGCACCTCTAGTGATCTAAAGGGATGACATCAACTGGCAAGCTAAGCAATAGTGGAGAGACCACCTTGAATGCCCATTCCTGATAATGAACTTGATGTCTATAACCATCCTGGAGCTTTCATCCAGTGACTGATGGAAGCAGAGGCAAACATCCACAGTTAAACACTGAACTGAACCCATGGAACCCAGTGACAGAGAGAGAGAGGAGCGATGAACAAATTGGCAAAGAATGGGCTGGCAAAACTAGCAGAGACAGCTGATCTGAACAGCTCTTGGACCCCAGACCAACAGCTGGGAGGCCAGCATGGGACTGATCAAGATCTCCTGAGTGTGAGAGTCAGTGAGAGGGCCTGGGCAACCTATGGATCAGTGTTTATCCCTGGCATACAAACTGACTTTGTGTGTCCATAATACAAAGAGGGATGCTCTCTCTGCCTGGACTCTTAGGGGAGTGCTTGGACCCTGCCCTGAGTGAAATGACAGACTCTGGATATCCCCTATGTGGAAGGAAATGGGAATAGGGTGGGAGGCTGGGGGGAATGGTGGGGTGGTGCGGGAGGAGGGGAGGGAGAGGGAACTGGGATTGACATGTGAAGCAAGCTATTTAAAATTAAAATAATAATGAAAAAGAAAAAAAAGAAACCCAACTAAGACACCAAATATGTGCATAAAAACCACACTCAAGATGGATAAGCTGCAACCAAACACTGTGTGAGAACAGAAGAAAACTTAAAATGTGTGTGTGTGTGTGTGTGTGTGTATGTGTGTGTGTGTGTGTGTGTGCGTGCGCATGCACTCATGTGTGTTTGTGTGTATGCACTCACATTTGCTTATGCAAGCACAACGTTTGGAGATTAGAGGAAGACACTGGGTACCACGCTTTTTCACTCTCTACCTTGTTCCCCTGAGGTATGGTCTCTCACTGAACTTGGGACTCGCTATTTTCTGGCTAGGTTGACTGGTCAACAAGCTCCATTAATCTTGTCCCCATCCCTCGCCAGCCTGTGTTGAGATGACAGACATCTATGGTCATGAATGGCTTTTGACAGTGGTGCTAGGGATTCTAACTCAGTTTCCCATATTTCTATAGAATACATGTTCACCCACCGAGGTGTCTTCCTAGTCTTAGAAGCAAACTTGTAAGCTGCATATGCCTCTCATCCATAGAGTCCTTATATTTGAATGAAATCTGCAGATCAATAATTAAGGTAATTTTGGACCCAAACCATGTATGGTATAAATGATCCTTTCTGTTCTTTCAACCAGTAGGAGATGGTCTTTTGGTGTCCTTTAAAGTTAAAAAGTGAAGAAAGAGGGCAGCTATATTTGAGAGATAAGAACCCCAAGCTAAAAATCTCGGGTTAAGGAGTTTTGTCAAGTTTTTTTTTTTGGTTTTACAAGACAGGGTTTCTCTGTATTGTTTTGGAGGCTGTCGGTCCAGCCTGGCCTCGAACTCACAGAGATCCGCCTGCCTCTGCCTCCCGAGTGCTGGGATTAAAGGCGTGTGCCACCACTGCCCAGCGAGTTTTGTCAAGTTTTAGCTCAGCTACTACTACTGTGCATTGAATATGCGATGTTTTATGAGCTCATGTGTTTAAAGTCTTGGTTTTCAGGAATTGTTGTGAAAGCTGTAAAACTTTTAGGAGGTGGGGTTTATCTGGGAGGAGTAAGGCAATGGGGACATGACTTGAGGTTTTATAATCTCCCTATAACCTGTGTATTTCCTGTTCTGGACTGCAGACAGAATGTGACAATCCCCTCATGGTCCTTCAGTGGTACCTTCCCTACAAGGTCAAGATGGGAGGTATCCCTTCTTTATGGTAATTATATATTGTAAATTTATTCTTTGAGAGTTTTATATTTAGATAATATATACTCCCTCCCTATCGAACTCCTCCCCAGCCCCCAAACACACGGCCCTCCCAACTTTGTGCCTTTTTTTAAAAATGAGTGAATCCAATGACTGTTTTCATTATTAAACCATTAGCCAGACTGATCCTTCCTCCCTAAGGCTGCTTTCATGAGGCATTTGATTATAATATAAAGCAAGTGTCTAATATAATCACTATCTGTTATATGTGGATAAATTCTTCCACTCCTTTTATGTAGTGTTCTCATCATTAAAATGGGAATAAGGAATACGTTGGTCTGTTTTATAGACTTCAGTGTTTCCTTGAATGGTGTTTGTCATTATCCCCGTAAGACCCATAGTGCCTATCTGTTCATGATAGTGCACAGAGGTCACAGTGTATTGGCATAGGGTATAAGTCATGTCCAGCAAAATTCTTGCTGCACACAGACTAACTACCACCTTGGCTGCATAGATAATTTTGGAGTTTGTAGCTGAGTCTATGCCTAGGAGCGGAGCATGGTACATGCGTGAGGTCTCAGTATCAGCTCTGGTTAGCCTGACTGGCAGGGGTGAATTGAGACATAGCTCTTGGTCTATTTGTGACTTTTTTTTAATGAAAGACATTTCAAATGGTTGTATTGAATTTCTATTGAATACTTCACTAACATAGTCTGATATTTGGAGGCAAATTTTCCCAATTAAAAGCTGATAGATCACTTAAGCGATGGAGACTGCCGTGACATTAGGTGGCACTGATGATCAATAGGGAAAGAGGGGTGATCCAGTTTGAGTTTCAGTGGAAGGGCTTCTGGGAAAGTTAGATGGAATATATTGAATTTCTTTAAGTGGAAAATAGGCATTGATCAGGACCATAAGGGACTGTCTGGACAACACTTAAAATAAAATTTGAAATCCTCAAAGATATTGTTAATCTAAGTGAAGGAAGATTGGGAACATTTTCTATAAATCTTTGCTATAGCCAAGGGTGCTTCAGTAGTTGCTATTATTTGGAGATACTGAACGGATATTAATCCCATGTTGCAAACAAAAGATGTTTTTTTTAAGTTCTTAGTTTGAAAATGTGGAGTTGGAGAGATGGAGTTGGAGAGCACTGGCTGCTCTTCCAGAGGTCCTGAGTTCAATTCCTAGAACCCACATGGCAACTCACAATCTGATCCCCTCTTCTGGTCTGAGGGCATACACGCAGACAAAGCGCTTCTATACATTAAAAAAAATAAATATAAAGTTTTAAAAAGTCTTTGAAAACAGAAAATGCCTCCTAACTTCCTTTCCCATTACAATGACAATAATTTTCTTTATGTTTCCATGTCATTTTGCCATGCTTCACACCTGTTATTCATTTGTGACATCAGTTGTACCTAACCCCGAGGTGGGAGTAAGACTCCTGGCCTTTTCTTTCAAAAGAACAAATTGAGATTTTCTGTATGTACTTGCTTACTTTTCACATGTGGTATTGAATCTGTGCTTTTTATGAACCACCTCATTTTAAACCTTAAGGTGTTTAGTTACACGATAAACCGCAAGCCATAATGTAACCATGGAAGAACCGATGTTTTCCATATCGTTGTCTAGGAAACCAGTCCTAGATCAAACATTGCGTAGATGTTTTTCTGAGGACATTGTTGATGCTTGGAACTCTTGAATGCTGCTTGGGAGGATGCCTTACATTATTTATTAAAAAACACATGCCATGCTGTTTTCCCACCCTCAGAATATCGATGGTTAAGTTTTCACTTAGAAGGTTTTGATTTACAGCCCCGACACAGAAAATAAGCAGCCAGCACTATTAATAAATGCTAGACTTATGGTAGGATGGGACATATATGAAACATCTGTACCAATGAGTAATGAATGAAGTGTAGCTTCACGATGAAAAAATTTTATCATGTCTTTTCCAATGCCTTCCCCTCACTCAGGATTATAATAATCAGTTACACACAAAGGCCCATTTTGAGCCATTTTATATTACAAAGTCTAAGGAGATGGGCAACTACCTCTGCACAAGTGACCCTCTTGAAGAATTACATTTATGGTGTAGGAAATTACTGTTATTCTTCAAGATCTCAAGGATGTAACAGTCTGTTATTTCTGCTCTGTGGACCATACAGGGAAAGATATATATCCCTTTTCAAAAAAATTCCCATGTCTCAGGAGGCAGCAATTTAGGGTGCTGTGTCTACAAATCACTCTTGTTCTCCTTTATTAGCTCAGGGGTTCACGCTTAATCCTCGGGTTTCCATTTCAGGCTTTCTGGATCTGATAAATATTTCTAATAGTGGCCTTATGCATCCTAGTGATATTTAATTGGTTACCTTTTATTAAGTTCCAGTATTTCTCCCAAATGATATTGGAAACTTGCAATTATGACAATTCCGATGACCTGAGGTGATGTTGGACAGATCAAGTCTGGTTCCAGAGCAATGGAAGCTAACACACAGCAAAATGATTTTATACTTCCCTGTCCTGAATTTCTGTGCTGCGATCCCCAAATGTATCTCATAACAGACTGGCAGTTATGGATAGTTCCATATTATTAAGAGTGTGAGGGCTGTGTCACTAGGTTAGCTTGAAAGTGGTTACACTAAAAAAGACAAGGATCTTGTGATCCATGTAACCTATGCTTTTATATCTTTCTGGCTCCCACAAGACAAACAAGGTGGGATGTTGGTAGTTTATAGCTGAAATGATGGAAGCCTGGAATGAGCAGAGACAAGATGAATGAGTGAAAGATGGAAATATATTTCTCTGGAAAAATATGCAAATACATATCTTTGCCTTTTCAATATGCTCTTTATTAATTTATACATGTTCATAGCAGAAGCGTTTCACACAATTTAGGTATTGCATGCAATGCTGTGATAAGCCAGTTTGATTTCATCAGCTCCTACTACATTAGCACAACATCTCAAATAATTCAGCAATACGTTATCACATTTGTACTAAAGCTGCCTGAAATACACTGCTTTTGATGTTTGTAAACAAAAAATAGGAACATCACCATGTAACACTGTGATTAGAGCAAAACACCTTCGTATCAGTTCTTCCCTTATGTTTTGTAAGGGAGACGCGCTTTCAGTATCCAAAGTCCATGGTCACTGGGGAAATATGGTTTTCTCTGGGTGCACTAAATATGTAACCAGAACCAGAACCTTTCAGAAAGGCAGTGAAAGAAGATGTCATAGGCAGGCCGGAGTTTGGAGGGTTTTACTGAAACTCCCCATTTAGCATACAAATTAGATAATGATAACTCTGCTATTGTAGATTCAGAAATCAGTAATGGTATTGGTTTATTCACGGATCTTTGAAGATCTTATACTGGGAGTAAAGAGAGATGTGGAAATTTAAGTCTGGGTTTTGATGAGAGGCTCTGTTTGTATTTTAAGATGAATTAATATGTGGTTAAACGAAGACTTTATGCTGTGCCCCCCCCCCTTTTGCTAATAGCAGCAAACAAGAGGTCAACTAAAAACTGATTTGTAATTAGCTGCTCTGAGTCTTCCTAGGAAACACAGAGATCTTGTTAAGCTTTGAAGCCAGGTGGAAGAAAGTTAATGGACTTGTATGGAGTCTTTTAATTACTAGTCGTAAACAAATCTCTTTCTTACTGCTAGATAGCACCCGAGGACAAGAGGTAATCTGCTTTATAAGCCTTGGAGTGATTTGCTTTATAAATCTTGTACTTTAGGAAAGTTGAAAACTCTTTGAAGAGTGTCCTCTTTCATGAGAATTAGGTTTTTGGCAGTTGTGTGAAAAATTTGGTGATAGATTCTTGGTGACCTCCCAATTTATAAATGTCAGCAACCAAGTCACATACAACATTCAGATCAATTCCTTATAGCATTTGGGTCTTTCTGTTGGACAGGATTATCCAAAAGCAATCTGAGTGTGGTAAAATTCCAACAAATTAACTCTAAACCTCTTTTCATTCAACGTATCATATCTTCCTGTCCAATGCACACATTGTCTTCTTTAACATATCTGCTTGTATGTTTAAAAAAACACACATCATCTCTCAGAGGTCATGTTATTTGTGCAGTTTACATTGTATGAATGGTAAAACATGTAATAGGAATTGATTGAAATAAAAAACTTAAAAACCAGATAAACAGCCAAATACAGAAATAGTCTAATTCAAAGTCTAGTGTTAAAATTAAAAATATTGAGAGTGATTTTACTTTCTCAAAGGTACAAATGGCTCAAGATTAACAAGGAGCACCCTGTATCTGAACTAGATAAATTTAGTGGCATTTTTGGATACTTTGCCTTCAGTCTCAGTTCTAGATGAATGATGGAGTTAAAAGTTGCAGTGGGAGACTCTATTCCTAGACTGTCTCCCAAAGCAATAGTACCAAGAATAACTCTCTTCAAAATCACTATGGACAAATTCACTTAATAATTCTTCACGAATGATATGCTCAGTTCCTGGGAGGATGGGGATCACTTGAAATGCATGGTCTATCTTTCTCCCAGGAAATGAAGGCTCAGCGGATCACAATGCTTGGGGTAGCTTCACATTCAAGCAGAAGAATCTTGTTGCGGGGCAGATGGGTCTTGCTGGAGGACATTCATGGGGATCATTTCTACAACCTCTTCGCCTTGATTGTTGTTGATGGGAGCATTCCTCGGTTCCTGATGGCAGATGTAAATGGGGAGACCACCGGGCTCAGCAAAGGCAGTAGCGCGAGGAGCCGCGACCACGCGGTTGGCGGGGCGACGGCGGCGGCGCCTTCCCCAGCGCTGGTTCCACCGGATTTTCAACTGCACCCACTGGCGCTTCAGGGCAACTTGGACCTGGAAGAGGAAACAGAGCCTTGTTTTTGATTGTCAGCTCATATGCTTGGCTCTTGGGGCTTATCAGAGGCTAAAGGAGGTTAAACTGTAGATCTGTTCCAAGAACTGAGTTTATAGTGGTTATGAATGAAATATACCATCCTAGAATAACAATATGCCAATTGAATGCCAGTGTTACTTGTCTGGGTAACAACGGGCAAGCTATTTGCCATTTTTGAGCAAAGCTTTCTGTCTTGGCTCTCACAGCTTACGAGGGAAGGTTCATTCCTTTCATAATGTAGCAGGCATGCCTCATTAGAGAGGAGGAGTTAGGAAAAATTTTATCTGCTGCCATTCATGCTAAGACATAATTTTATCCAAATCTGAACTTGTGGATCCTGAAAATTATCCGTAAGTGATGATGGACCCATGTTGTGGATTTACCCTTGCCAAACAAGGTTTCAAATGAAGTGTTCCATAGAACACTCTGACTGAGGCAGCCAAAAACCTTTCAAGAATGAGACTTCAGTCTCGTTTAGGAAAAAAACAATCAGAATACTCTGTCAACGGGATCATTGAAATAATGGACTTTTCAAACCACCTGTTGCTATACCTGTTTGGGTGTACCATTTTACATTCAATTATATTTTAAACAGAGAGAAAGACAAAACCTTGAGGCGCTGACGGTTGGGGTGTGCCACGCAGCTGAATTTTGCCTTGATAAAAGTCATACAGGGACAAGGGATGGCGAAAAGCATTTAGTTACTACTTACTGACTAATTGCCACAGGCCATATTATAATCACTTGATTTGCATTAATTTATTTAATCCTCACAGCTGCCTCCTTACAAGAGGAGTCCACTTATGGACGGGACAGCTTAGACTATGCCATGTGTGCCCAGTGAGGGAGCTGCAGTGTGGCAGAGCTGGAGTTCCAAGTGAAGCCTGGCTTTATTTGGATTGTAGATAAGCCCCTTGATGTCAGGTTTATAATCTAGGAACTATCAATGCACCCTTGAGAAACTAGGAAAGATGCCAGTTCATTATCTTTGAGATGCAGTGTCTGTAGATAAAGGAAACCAATAGTTTCCATGGATTCAGCATCCCTTAAATACCAAGGTTGCTCTTACAGCTAAACCCTTGCGTTTTAGAGGCATCCATTGCAGATGGTTACAAATGTAGTGTTAGTTGGCATAAGTGCTCCACAGGGATTAAAAAAATCTTGATTTTTGCCTTACCTGTCCTTTTACAATCCCACTAGAGTATCTACGTATACTGAATCATCCAGTCCAACATGAGCTCAAAAGGTTTGAAGTCAATTTCAATATTTAAAATTATTATTACAGGAAGTCAGCAACCTTCTCTCCTTGCATCCCAAATTTATGGGCCATCCTTTTGTGTGGCCCTTTTGTGTGTATACATATAGAAACAGGCCCTGAGCAGCATGCAAAAGATATTGTGATGGCTATAGTATAATAAGGGTAGTTATCTCCTATAGTAGGAGATGGATATATACTGACTGATGGTAAGAATAAGGGCATTAAATCTGTGACCTTGGGGGAAAAATAGAGACTTTCATTGCTTCTAGAAAGCAGGAGAAATGTTTAGAGAGGTCAAGGGGTAAGTCTAACACACAACATTCTGGATTATATAATTTTATTGCTCATTTTGAAATACCTTTAATTTCCCCCTTGATTTTTATAGATGTATTTATTGTTGAATTTGAAGAATGACAGCTTAGTCTGGTAGTCTGAAGACACAGCTGTTGTCGCTGGCTCTGTTGTATAGTATGAAGCCGTGGAAGGCTAGCACATTTGGGCCTTGGTTCCCATACTTGTGGAGACAAGCATTATATTGAAATCTTCTTGGTCAGGTTTGAATGCTTTGGGGGTATTTCTCTCTTTCCCTGTTAGGCTCATCATAGGCACCTGTAGCTAAGTGCTGCTGCATGGATGGCAGGGTTTTCCTCTAATAATGAAACTACCCTCTTCATTTGTTACTCTGTCACCACAGAGTAACCACCACCTGTTGCTCTTAGTCTACCCATGGACCCTCTATATAAGGCTTTATTTCCATAATGGCAATCACTGACAGCAACATGAATCAGAATTAAAATTTCAATTTGTATCGCTGCATTGATCAGTCCCCTTGGATCTTTGCTGAAACTCAATACCTGGTCAGGCAGTCTCATGACATACCTATCTCAGATGTAGCTGGAAATATCTTCCTGTGGGTGTGAGTGCCTTGCTTGAGTTCAATGATAGAAAGGGAAATGTGTGCAGAATGTCCAGCTGAGACCCAGATACATGACATCCATGGGACTGTGATAATACATTTGGCATAGCATGCCGTTTTTGTAATATTAGAAATGTCATGCTTACACCTTCCTCTAGCTACATGATCTTAATGAAAACAGAAATGTTTCAAAAACAGAGAAAACATACGCAATAAACTCCAGCTATTTCAACTGTCAAGAATACCCATTGGGTTTATTTTCTATGTCTGAGACTCCCATTGACATTATAGCTAAGATGCAATACATATTGTAGCATTTTTACAAATGCGTGCAATTCTCTTGTGCTTTACAAGGCTTAGCCCTTCTGAGTCTGATTTTTCAATTAGATCCATTTTGATATTGTTTTAGAAGAATGTATTTTGTTTACCAAAAACTAACTCAAAATGCAAGAGTCTACATTCACAGAGTATTCTCACTGGTGTAGTATTCTACACAGGATGATGTAATCCCTATTCATGTTTTAGTTTTTACTGTCAAAATATAAAAGGAGAGGTAGAGATTCTTTATCAGCTGGAAACAGAGGGATATTTCATTTTAACCCAGACTCCTAGTATGTCCCTTAGCAACCATGATTACACAAATACATTTTGTTGAATGGAGGAAAAGCTATTGGGTGAAAGAGCAAGATGTACCAGTAAAAGGAAATAATAAAATTTTTTCTAAGTTGGATTTGGATAGGGGCATCAGGTAACAAAGCAGATAAGTATTTTAGATACTCAACGAATATTATCTAAAGAAATAATAGAGCAGTTATTAGATATCAATTGCTAATGATTAGAAAATATTCCTAAAAACTAACAAGATAGTATATAGTCATATCTTAACAAACTATGATTTGTCTGGAATAGAATTATTTTTAGTAGGAATCAATTTGCAATGATAAGAACACCTGTGTATTAAAATTATGTGGTCTTGGGAAAGTAGAGGATATTTTCTAGGGAAGGATCACATATATAGATAATTTATTGGAATTTAGTTAATTTAATTGGGAGTCAGAAAGTCTGGACTCTGGTCCTGGCTGTCACAGCTATTTGTGACACTGAGTCAGTGACATCAATTTTTCTGGAGCTTAGACTGATCATCCAAAACTTGAGGGGAACTTTCGAATTGTACTCCTTGAGATCATGGAGGTTCACTGGAAGAACCCATAGGGCTACCGCAGCTCTCTTTTCACATTTTATAATTGAGTTCTCAGGCAAGAGTTTGTTAGAGGACAGTGGACTCTAGTTGAAACTACCTGTGTAGCCTGGTTGCATAGTTTCTGTAGAATACTGAACCAGATATTCAGATTATTTATATAAGACTTTACTCCTGACAGCAATCACTGTCATGTTTGGAGAATCCTTTTTGAGTATTAACTTCAGCGTCATTTTTCAAAATATTTGAACACATTGTCTTAAAGGGGCACAAAGCAGCTGGTAAATAGATTGAACACTGACTGTTGTAGCCTGGGTATGAGTTTACAAAAATAATATGAGTTCTCATTCTGTGAGAAACCAGATAGTGTCTCCTATTGCTGCTGGGCATGCTAACCCACTCAGTGTGCAGCCCAAGGAAGTGTGAGCTTAGCATGCTCTTTGGGTCCTATGTGTAATTGCACCACACATCCACAGGTGAGACTCAGCTTGAGGTAGTAGAAAAAAAATCCACTGTCCTATTAATCACAAACCCCTGTGAGATCATGTAGAAATGAGATCTGGAGAAACTTCACTGTGGTCCTTAGGAAATTGCAAATGCTGGCTTTATATAAATGGGTGATAGTATTACATGAAATGAATGCCTACCTCATGGTTGCAGAAGCAGTAGATAGTCGCAACAAAGAATCCCTAAAAAAGAAATGGAAAAATACATTTGAAGTTCTTCATGTCTGCATGATATCATTCCATAAAGTCAACACACAGAGACTCGCTAGAGAGGAATATCCCACTCTTGCAACAGCATGTCATGGTTTGATGAAACAGAAAGGCAGGAAAAAAGGAAGATCTACCTCTTCTATTCAATACTACACCACAAAGGTATTTCCATTAGAGGTCTACTTTCTTCTCAGTGGTTGAGCATTTACCTAGCATGTATGAAACCAGGGATGAATCTTTAGCAACAAAAGTTTAAAAATCATCCTTTCAGTAGAGAAACATGTTTCTTATAAAGACTCAGCAGTTATAAGGGCTCTAGTAAATTTACTTAATGTATCACTTCATTTACATAGAGAGTTTTGGTGAACATACTGGTTATGGTGGATTTGGGAAGTCTTTGTACTTTAAAAAATTAAAAGCTGTGACTACCAGGGAAATCGTTTTGCAAGTTTGATATGAAGCTGTGAATTAGCAAGTGACTCTCTCAAGTATGTCTTTCAGAAACCTATTCAGTTGCCTTTGGGGCCTTGCTTGATACTTGTAAGATGCCTTGAGTTTGATTTCTTTTTAATCTATGGCTGTCTTGGCAATTGGGAAAAATACAATGGATTTGAAATGTATAATTGAGAAAGAAAAATTATGGCCTAGGATCCTGTGTTAGAGCCTCTCTCCCTGAGAGCCTCTTCATGCCCAGATGGATTCTCAAAGTACACAGCAATGTCTTTATTAGAGTTTGTGATCTGAGCCAAAACTTTTCAGTGAATGGAAAGAAGGTACCTGCTCTCCTGTCTAGGTTGGCTAATGGTGCAGCTCATGACTGCTCTGGTAGCTCACTTGGTGCTCATCTACATGAGAAATGTGAGAGACCCAGGTCCAGTGCTCCTCCACAGTCCCAGAACTCACATGGATAGACACTGACAGTGAAAGGTAAAGGATCAGGAGACATGGGCAGCTCTGTATAAATGTCTTACTCATTATTACTCCAAAGTCACATTGGTTCATAAAAGAAATGCTGGCCACCTACTTGGTAAGAGATCAGTTGCCTGGGTGGGACCAGTAAAGGACCAGAGTAGCAATAAACTAGAAACAAATGCCTTGTACAACTTCCATTTCCTTCTACAGTTTTGGTTTGGCTCTGCTGAGTTGAAGGCTGTGAGTTTTGACTTTTAAGATCATAATCTTATAAAGAAGATTATGGGTTTTAGTCAGATGGGCCTAGTAGGAGAATAAGCCAGCGAGTAAACATAAAGTTGGTTCCTTACCTGGAAATGAATCAGAAAGTGCATGACATAGTCATAGATCCTCCCAAGAATCTTGTTGGAGGGCCTCCAGGGAAACACGACAAACTGGATCCCCAGCAGGGGCACAAGGACCATGGTAGCCTTCACAGCCTTCAGGTACAAGTAGGTCTCTGCCTCATGAGTCTGCCTCATTTTGGTCACAAGCACGCGGACGATGTTGAGCAGAAAGAAGAAATTGACCTGCAAAGATTCATATGAGCAAATAATCCATTACTGTTCCTTGAAATATACTATCTGCCAGGCCAATGACTAGAAAACTTCTGAAATAAAAGAAACCTACATCTTCTGAACCACAGGTTTTCTGACTCTGAAGGTTAGTTTTGAAAATAAAGTTAGAAAATAATTGTAAGTGCTCAGAGTGAGTAGTTAAAATCTTGGATAGAAATGGCCATTGAGCAAAACCTGTAAGACAAGAATGAGACTTTTGATAGTAACTGAATTCTATAGGCCTGGGGCCTCAGCTAGGGAAGAAATGAAAGGGGATGGGCACCAGCACTCAGTCCTCTCTGTCTGCTGACTGGATACAACAATGGGACAGCTTCCTCACACTCGGTCGTGCATGCTCTGTCATGCAGGCCTGTGTCACCTCCAACCAGGAGCCAAATAAACTCTTTCTTAAGTTGCTTTTGTCACAGCAAACAAGAGAAGTTGCTAATACGACTGGGGAGGCCGAGAAGCAGCCTGATGGCAATCCACCTTGCTCAGTTACTAATGGATGACTCCTCAGTGTAGGAGCGGAGTGCGGGCATAGGATCAGATTCTGTTTTTATTTTTCTTACTTTGAGGAAAGAAAACACTGTCTCAGAGCTTAAAAGTGCTCCATACCCTCTGTCCTATGTATGCAAATGAGCTTCTCTACTTATAAAGAAAAACCTTTTTTTTGAAGAATATAATTGGTTCCTATGTGATAGGATGGCACTAAATTAGCTTTATTTTGTAGGTAAGTACGCATGCCACATGGAAATATATCCACAAAGCTGAGCAATGACACTGACAACAACGCATTGAGAAACCAGTTCTTACCACCAGAGCCACCATGACAGGTCCATGGATGATGTAGAGCAAGTGGGTTTCCACACTCAGCCAGCAGCTGCAGAAAGCAAGGGTGTACATCAGTATGAGTATGCTTTCACTTTGGAATATATTAACTTAGAAGTCGAGGAGAGACTTACTTGTCATTGTAGTAGAGAGCACGAGTAATGGCGTGGATAGTGGTTGGCACCACCGGGAACCCTAGAATTGGGGAAAGCACAAATCAAACTTGGATTCCAAGCCATATGTTTAGCTACAATTGCACGGATATTGGTAGCATTTTTGCAAAGATGGTGGCAAATTGAGTGTGCCTATCAAAACATTAGGGTAGTTTGTCTAAGAACATCCAGACAATTAAAAGCCTTTTGCCAGTTCCTAGATGCCTAGATACCTTGTAACCTGCATTGTGACCCTTCCTAACTCTGTTGGGCTTTTGAAGATGCTTTTGCTGACTGTAAAATGGAACAAGCAAGTCTTTCATTGTGTGAATTGCGCTCTCATATAGTGAGATTCTGGGTCACCCTTAAGGAATGTGACCTGGGACATTGATTGCTATGAAAGCCTTCCTTGATATTCATATGATTTCTGTTGGGTATTTCATTTTTCTGTTTACTTCATGTACATTGTTCTTGTTTCTCTTTAAAACAAGTATTTCAGAGAAGCTAGTGTATTCCTACCCCCTCTAAATTCTGGCTGTGGCTTGTAGAGGAAGTGAAGTATACTCTGCGTTGACTAAATCAAAGTTCTAGTAAAGATAAACAAAAACCCCCTCTGAGTTTATCTTGAGGAAAATTCAGATGCTATCTATTCAGCCAGCCAAATTACATGTTTTTAAGATAATTTTTCTTTCCATGAATGTATCCTAAGGCTGTAATTTTCCTTTTAAAAAGACTGTCTTTTTACTCAGCTGAACCCAGTATATGATAATACGGTTTGACGTGATTGCAGCACCTGTAGAAAGAGGATTCTTGTTATTGTCAGGTTAAGAAATCTATCTCAGGAAAAAATGAAGCTGGTATCCTTCAGATTTCGGTAAGTGAGAGACAAAAAGAGAAGGTCTCAAACTATTAGGTTTTCACATAAAGTCATGTTGGTTTCTAAATGCATAAATGCAATAATTTAATAATACTAGTGATTACATATTGGGCTTGAGAAATTTTAACCTGGACTATTTACACAACACATCAGTTCTAACAGATGATTTCCTTATTTGAATTCAAAGACTCAAAGTTATTCTCTGGATTTATTCTGAAGTAAACATTTTAGGATAAGACAGCAAAAAAAAATCCAAGCCCCCCTAAAAAATACCCAAAAACAAACAAACAAACAAACAAAAAACTGGGCATTTGGGAGTCGGAGTCTACCTCTCCACTTCACTTAAAGACAAGCATGCTTCCTAGCTAATCTGGTAGGGCCTCATCTAATGCTGGGGCCTCACACCTTCCTATGGCTATAAAAGTTTTAATTTTTCTCTCTGTTCCCGTTCTTCTAGTCCCCAAGACTTCCAACAACATTTCCTTTCTACCAGATAGTGAAAATGAAGGCAATACTTATTCCGTAGGATTCCCCTTTTAAAATCAAAGAAATCCTGCTTGTTCAATGTGAGAACCCATGGGAAGACCTTCCTTCCTTCTATTTATAGTATGGGGAAACAAGTCAGGGCAGGAAGCATCTTGAAGATATAATATAATATGATATAATACGAATGAGGAAAAAAGCATCCAAGGAAGAATCATACTTTCATTTTCAGGTGGGGAGAATTTCAGCACCAGATAGTTGTAGGATGGGTTTATTATGCCACTCACAAATCTTGGAATTCTATTGCATTTTAGATCTTGGATTTGGAAACATTTTTCACACATATGGCCTTGATGTTCCCTAAAGACAAGTCAGTTCCCAGAAAACAGCTTTTGGGGGAGCATATTTTTTGCATCCCAACTTTGAAGACTATTTTTAGACATCAACTGTGCATTATTTCGTTGGATTTTAGTTTTATCTTTATTTGTGTGTGTGTGTGTGTGTGTGTGTGTGTGTGTGTGTGTGTGTGTTAGATAGAAGTGGAGAACAGACTTTGGCATGTCTCAGTAGTTGACTCTGTCTTTCCAAATACCTATCTATAAAGAGCAAATCCTCCCTTCTGAATCTTTCTATTTTCTGTGGTTTGAATACTGAACAAGAGATCTACTGCCTTAGCCAGCATTGATTAGCAATGCCCTGTGTTCTGTGGCTACTGTGAATGAAATAGTTTTTGATTCTACTTGGTTCATGCTAATGAAGTTTTAAGTACTTGCTGATCAAGGAAGATTAAGGTATTGTATAAATACTTTGTTATCATTCCTTTTTGATACAGGCAAACAGGTCACTTTATTTTTTCTTTGTATTTGGTTATGAGATAAATAGAGATCTGATTGAGATGAATACAAAGATGCCAGCAGTGCACCAGTATGGAAAGAAAAATGTAAATGTTCCTTCCAAGGTAACCCTATCCCAGCTAAATGTCATAGGTGAGATTAAATTTATAGCCAGTATTGTGTTTTCATAGAATATTTTTTAGTTTGACAGATAGACACTTCTGAAACACTTATGGAGAAAATTCCATCAATGTGCTTCAGATGAAGTAAGTACACTAGATCTGACAGAAACACGTGAGAGAGGCTCTGCCAGAGACTGGGATGCTGACTGTGCTTCCTGAAATCAAGACCCGAAGAAGGCTATACATGTGTGAATCCAGGTGGATCTAGCTCAAAGGCCAATTGTATGAAATACATACCCCAGCCAAGAAGGTAATACCAGCGCAGGCGTTGCTCCTCCGCGAACACAGCCACCACGATGAGAGTGTGAAGGTAGATCCCCTCACAGAGCATCCAGAAATAGTTGCAGGCCATCATGTACTGGTGGAAGAAGTGCAGGACCTTGCAACTTATCTGTTAGAAAGAAACAGAGATGCTTAGTGGGAGGCGTGGTTACAGATAGGGTGGTAAAGGGAGGACTACGATTATGAACCAAATTGTCTGCATTGAACTCTCAAGAATTACCCTGTGTATTTGTTAATGTGTGCCCTCTATATTTACAAATCAAAGGGACAGTGTGTAAGTCACAAGTTTTGTATGTAAATAACCGCATGGGCCATTGGAAGCTGAGGCCACAGACTATTCTTTTCCTCCATTAAATTCTAGAGACTTACCTAGACTAGAGAAGTTCATTTTCCTACAAGGTGTCTGAGACTAATGATGTTAAAGAACATCCAAGTGTTTGACATACAACTTCTTTATGCTTTCCTCCTCCTATGGTCCACAAGAAAAATAACCCTAGACATTTTAAATGTTGCTTCTGAAGCCGATTGATCTGTTAGCAATGCCTTCCGAACCATGAAGAGTAGATGGGCCAGGGGAGAGAGTTGTCTTGTTTGGACCTGAGCCTATACTGATCTCAGCTTGTGTTTCATAGGTAGCCCTGTTTTACATTTTAGGAACCAAGTATTTGCTAAATCCTCTCTATACATTAGGGTTAAGACTAGGGAGCATACCAGTGTAGACTTAAACAGCTGTGTAGGAAAACTACAAACTGTATAACAGAATATCCTGTTATTCCCTCATCACTCTAGAGTAGGACTCTTCATCTTGACATCTCTGATATTTTGGACTAGATATCTGGTGTTGTTGTGAGGGGCCTCTCTATGCTTGTTGGAAGTTAACAGTGTTTCTGCCTTCTATCTAGGAGATGCCTATAGCATCCTTCACCCACTCATAATGAAAAATGTTTCCAAATGCTCTTGGTGGAGCAGAATGTCTCTACTTAAGAACCCCTACATGGGGACACCTACCATTGATTACCTTCCAACAACCACAAGGCAATGACAAGATTCAGCATTCTTATTTTAGATAAAAGGAAGTGGTTGCTTGCCCAGCTATTATTTTCCCAAACGATATGTATTCTATTACATTGCTCCTCCTAGGGATAGCTTTGAGTCTAGCTGTATTTCAATTTTCCTTTCATAAAGCAATGTAACAATGAAATCACTTTCATCCAAAGCACCTTGCTGGGCTTGTAAGCTTCTACTGAATGCAAAAGAGTTGTAATTCATTTGGTGGGAAGTGATATGCTGAACCTATATATATTCTAGTATGCTTCTTTCCCCTTCAGGATTCATAGGAAAAATCAACCTTGGCTCATTAAAAAGTAGCTATTGTGCTTTCAATGGTAGAATCAACCTCTGGTTCAAAACAGGTGGAATAAAAATATTGAAATCCACATCAGGAAATCTAAAGCAATATGTATGCATGGCTTAGGAAAGAATAGTTCTGGCTCTGCAGTCCTTGCCATCAGATTATCTTTCTTACTGGGATCAGCTGACTGGTACATCAGTTTTGTGTTTACTAAGTAAACACTTGCTACAATGGCACCAAGACACCCAAGCATCAGTAAAACGAGAAATTCCCTTGAGATTCTAGATTCCTGTTGAAGATTTCTCTTTGAAATGCCAGCGTCCTCTGGATTCCTAGAGGCTGAGTTGATTTTTGATTTTTCTCTGGTGGGAGAGGAGATAAGAAGGTGGAGATGACCCTTTTCCTGTGTGATCCAAGTAACTGAAGTTTTGTGTTTAACCAAGCTCATTCTCATTATTCTTAGTAGTTACATTCTGTGAAGACACTATAAAAACTGAATTAGCAAGCTCTAAGTCTTATGTATCTAGGCCTAATAAAAGGTGAGTGTTCTTTGAGACCCTGGTCACATCATTTTCATAAAGTAACCAACATATAGCTTTTATTTTATATGTTTTGTGTACAGACACCTTATTATATATATTATTGATTTATCAATATTGAATGCTTGGCCCACAGCACAATAACCACTACTTGAAAGAAATCTTTTTAATATTTTCTTCATAAAAACATCAAGACTTTTTGTTTTGCCTTATAACAAATTTATCAAGGTAAAATTAAAAATAATAATTATATATTTCTTAAAGGTTCTATTCTTGCAGAGTTCAATGCTTATGATCAAGGGAGTGGCCTTCTGGTGGCAAGACAGACAAGTAGACAAATAAATGTAATCATGCACAATGACTTCTATAAATATACATATATATTTTCTACTTAATCTGAGTTTTAAATTATTTTAACAATTGTTTTCTCAACTACATAACAAAGTCTGGCATTTAGGAGAATCAATGAAGCCAACTAGAGGGGCTTATTTCAAGAACACTAAATTCTCTACTCAATTTGTGGACAACCAGCAAGGAGTGGAGTATTGTATTGTGTCAAAACTGACCATATTGGTCAGTACTGTAAAGCACTCTGCTCACACTGTAGCCTTTGTACTTTTGTGGGTCTGAGGGCTGCAATATGGACTAGTTTATTCTGGGAGGTGACTGTCTATAACTTTACTTTTCAATTCCTTGTGAAAATATTGAAGCAAAATGGAAGGAATGCAAGGGATCTTGCTCCTCTTTCTTTTGTCATTGAGGGACAAGCCAGTTCCTAAGGAAAGGTGGCAAACCTTTAACACTACATTGCTTACTATAAAAAAATCAGAGTTTCAAAAGTAGTTTGGAATGGGCTAGTGTGCTAAACTGCAAAATGCTTTCGCCTGAACTAAAGCTTCCAGTATTGCTTCTGCCAAGTCTTATTTTTAAAGCAGAACATAAAGTTTGTCACTCATTCAATGGATCTCCAGGAGGTCAGCACATTTATTTACGTTTTTCTGGGGCTTCTGAAGTTGTTGTCTCATCAGTTCATGTTAATACAAAAACAGGAGGGTGAAGCTTTGTTTACTTGATTAACAGAAGGTGAATCAATAATTAAATTTCTAAACATTTAACTTGATGTGTGAAAACACCAAAGATTTGTGGTCTATGTTGATTCAATTTTTAGGTTATCTTTAAATTTTAATTTAACATCTAAGTTCCATATGGAGTGAACCTACAGTTACTGTTACATATACAATTGACCCATCTTTACAATTTGACTCCTCCACTACTTACACCCAATAATATTCAGATAGAGGTGAGCAGCAGATGTCTAGTCAAATTAAATGAATATTGTTTTGTGTATGGCTCATAATGTTGTTCAACTGAATGCTCAACCCTTAATTAATATCACTATTTAATGCCTAAACCAGAATTGCTTATCAGGAGTGGACATCATTTTCAAGGCCTTTTATTTTAATTAAATAGTACTGAAATTATTGGTAATATTTGTAGAGATCAGTACATCTCCGAAGGGGTTAGGCTGCTGACATCCATAGAAAATGTGTAATATTGGGCTAAACTCTCCTAAACTGAATTTTTATGTTAGTTGCATTTTGGATCTTTGTCATGTTTTCCTAAGTACCCAGAAAGGGTATCCTTTGATGATGGCACTTCCTAAACACCCAAGAAAACTCTGCTATCTTTCTCCCATGTCCCTGCTAGAAGAAATGTTTGACTTTGCACAGCATTTTCCAAAAATTTGCTATGCGTATTTCCATTTTCCATTTGGTGCACACAGAAACTGTCTAATGGTCAAAACTTGACTTCCATTAACCCAATTTTCTAGATTCCTTTACTAAGTAAAAGTATACTAGTGTTCCACTATAACTTGTTTTTTTTTTTACAAACTTACAAAGTAATTTTCAGGTGTCAAATTGACAATTTAGAATATTTATGATTAAGATAGTAAAGTTCTCTTCAAGTTAATTTGGTCTGGAATGTTCTGGTTTTCCTTGTTAGATGCAGTTTTTGAAGTAAATAAATTGGACACGGTATATTATCACTTGTTGGTATCTTCTGAAATTAGAGTATTTGCAGTGAGAATTATGACCATTTTCATCTAACAATCTGGATTCCTAGTTCAAGAAGTGGATTTTGGTTTAGACGATTTATCCTTAATAAAATTGGAGATATTTTTGACATTTTTAGCTTCAATTTGTTTCCAGTGAGTTCTTTGTCATCTCTTCCTGGTATTCATGATATCAGTATTTTGAATTTTTATGAATTTGGCTTACATGGTCTTGGAACTACCCATACCCCCGGCATTTTACGTGTATTCTTCAAATTGGATAGTTACTCTTGGTTAAGCATTGATTTTGTTGAATGTTTCCCTTGTGGTCTCCATGCGGCAAATAAGCTAGCCTAAAGTAACATATCTAAATTTTGGTTCTTTTCTTTTTTGTCCTGGAATTTCCATGTAGTTCTTTGGTTCTAGGATTTCCGTGTAGTTCTTTTTTAGTAATTTCAACTTTTCTGGTTAAGATGTCTTGTCTTCCCATTCATTCACAACTTTTACAAAGTTATACGACTACTATATAGTTTGATAATTTTAACATCTGGGTTAAGTGACAGTTGATCTTTATTCTATTTTTTTTCTTGTTGTAGTTCAACAAGGCTTTACACACATACCTTGCCTTCCTGAGTGTTGGGTTTACAGGTGTGAGCCACCAAACCCAATTTTTCTTTCTCTTGACAGTGGGTCATGTTTTCTAAAATTGTTTTTCATCTGGTGTCTTTGACCTATTTCTAGATATAATAAATATTGGGATGCTGTAGACGTTTTGGTTTAGAGTCTAGATTCCATTATATTCCTTTGAAGTTTTCTTATTTTGTTTGTTTGAATAGGTACTTTACACAGCTAAATCCTAAGCACAAATTCTCAGTCGGACTGTTGGTATCTCAAATCTCTGTTGAGTTATTTGGATTTAGTCATATTCTTGGATTCCTTTGAACATATACAATCAGATGGAATCCTATCTATCTATCTATCTATCTATCTATCTATCTATCTATCTATCTATCTATCATTGAACCTAAGCATCTCACTGTTCTGAGAACAATACCCTTTACTCTTTGGGCACTGTAATTGCCCTATTCTAATATTATACAGTATAAGAACTATTCAGCTATAGCCACTTTCTTTTAAATCAGACATAATCTATAATACTTTGTGATGATTATAATGACTGGTTGAGCATAAACCAAATTTTAAAGAAGCATTTTGCTTCACAGAACCGGTTTTGCTATTTAAGTAAAATGAAGGATAGTAGGCTAGAGAGGACTGCCCATTATAGGGCCACATCATGGTGTTATTCTCCTATGTCACCCCAGCAAATCCATTTCATATGTTTATTTCCAGTCTGCTTTTCCAGAGGATATTGAAACCCCATCTAGTTTAACCTACTGTGAACTTTCCATTCCAGTCTGTTCTCTCAGTCACCTCTCCCTTGTTTGTATGTTCTGCCTTGTACCAGTGGTCCTTGACCGGGCAGGAGCAGTGTCTTCCACCCTGGACTTTACAACCCCAGTGTCTAGATTCTGAGCACCCTTTCAAGTTGACCTTTCTGTAACCTCTTAGGACGATGATGTGGTGCAGTCTGGTGACTCAACTGTACTGGACAAGTGAGGATTAGAAGAACATCATGCCATTTTTGAGCTTGGGATGCTTTTGCCCTTATTTAGATTAAGACACTATAAAATAATGCAATCTGATTGTATCAGCTTTGGAGGTGCATCGTGCTTAGGTTCCCAGTAAAAACCAATCTCCCTGTATTGTCCCCTTTAGAGCCAGATAGAAAGTTCAGACAGATGTTTCTTTCTAGAAAGTGACAAGTATCCTGGCAGCTTCGTTCAGATGCAAAAAGAACAATGCTTTAAAAGCTGTTTCTTGACTCTACATGGAGATCACTGAATGAGCAGATAGAACAAGAAAAGTGAAAATTTAGATATTATGGAAATGAAATGCATCAATGACAATGGGCAATTTTCGCATCACTCAGTAAACTGAGGATCTATTCAGCCCTTATTTATGGCATGAGTTATTTTGAATTTAACTTAAAAAACTAAAATATAAGAAAATATAGGAATAAGAATCTTGGGTAATACATGAAAGAATAAACCTATCAAAAATCTTGGAGGAAGAGAGTGACTAACTTGATGGAGAAGGAGGCACAGAGCCACAGATTCACCACTATTGAGTGGGATGTTCCATGCCCTCTCTTTCCTTCACAACTAAATGAAAGATCTCATAGGAGTGGTACCACTACATTTGGTACATATGAGATAAGGTGACCTCTCTCATCAAGAATGAATTTCTTCTTTTTAATATACTCCTTTAGTTATTGAGCAGAAAAAGTTTTGTGCCTCTGGGGGCCGACTCAGTGGCTTGAGTATAGGAACAAAGTGGAAAAATGTGTCCCTTCTCTGATTTAGTTTTTTTGCTTAAGAGAGAGAAATGTCATTGAAAATTAACTATTATGTTTTTCTTTAAAACAGACAAATGTCCATATAATATTCAGAAATGGAAGTGAACTGGTGAATCAGCTTTGCTTCAATTTATGATTATGGCTATGATGATCACATTATATTTCAATAAATATTTGTAGAATGTCAATACTTGATAACATTCCCTTCCCAGAAGATTATTTTCTGTTACATTTTCTTTCCTATTTATTTGTTTGCACTCTTTTTTTCTTCCTTGTCTCTATTATTTATGAAGGGAGTACCTTGATTTAATACCATTTAGGTTGGTATTTTTTAAGAGAGATATTTCAAGTCACTACTTTAAAGTAATGTTAAATGCATGATTCTGCATTTGGCTTAGTAGAATTGAGAAGATCTTGGTTCTCAGGCTTTGGATGTTGCTGTGGCTGTCTCATTATATAGGAGAAATTTACTTTCAAGAAAGAGGGAGATTGGGAAAAACAGTTGAGTTTTCCTTCTTATCATCTATTCTCTACACTCAATTCTCTGGCAATAGAGAAAATGTCTTCTTTCCTCAGACTTAAATGATGGGGCCTACTATAACCATGGAGATAATGTTCTGGATGTGAAAAGATTCCCAGAAATTGGGTTTTCATAAATATACTTGTGATAAACTACACATTTGTAAGTGAGAGAATACAAATTTCACCTTGCATCTGCCAGAGATAGCTTTAAGGATCAGAAACATTTCAAATATGCCCATTTGAGAAAATTCCTGAAGCAATTTTGCTTCCCTAGAGCAAGGGACTGTATGTTGCTTGCTTATTGAGGGTCCGATTTAGCCAATTCTCATTGGAAAGTAGTAACTATTCAAATAGAGAAAGCACCTGAAGAATTAGTTTCTTCTGGGAGAAGGGTAGACTGTGTAGTTTACAGGCCTAGGTTAACTTTTAGAATTGCAATTGTTTACTTTTAGCCTATATTATTTAAATGATTTGGTGAGAGGTTTGGGTTCCCCAACTGTCTCTCAGGGATGAAACAGGCATTTGGAGTTATGAAAGAGAACACATGACATCACTTATTTACCATGTAATTGAGCTGATACTGGCAGCCCATTCTCATTTTGTCTAGCTTTAGACAAAAAGAAGTTTTCATTTTTAGTCACAAAGAGAAATATATACAGATTTGTTGTGTTCTTTTATTTTTCATGATAAAAAAGTCACTTTTCAAAACAGGCCAAAATATTGCAGACACAAGTGTGGCTGCAAAACACAGTATGCTGTGTGAGCCGGGGGCATTCCTAGAGACAGTGGAGATGGTGGCAGAAAAACATATTGTCACCTATCACTTCTGTCCAGGCTGAGGACTAACCTTTGGGTCTTGAGTGCTCAGTAAACGATTGATTGATTAAAATTCTTTATTATAGTTTCCCATAGCTTTTCGTTAGGAGATTTGTTCTTATATATCTAAACTAATAAGTTTGTTAGATGAAAGACATACTCATGGGAGGACCAGCATTTTGTTAATGTCACCAGGGTAAACTTCTTTCCTTTTGGTCTAATGCATGTGAAGAATCAGCCTCCTTCCTGTACACTAGAGAAAGGCTTTCTGTTTATTTCTCTGGCTCTCCTAAGATCTCATTGACATTTTCCCAGGAAGTCAGCAGCACAATGGCCAAGCCAGCTCTCCAGACATCTGCTCACCAACTTCAGTAAAGGTTCTGGGCAATGGAGGAGCCACAGGATAGATACAGATGATATGGTGATGGTTAAGAACAGCTTGACTGGAAAAGTGCCTTGGCAAGTCTTCCACTAAGATAGCCTATGAAAGTGAAAGCGTTTAGCAAAGATAGCTAATAAGACTATTATGATAAGAAGTTGTGTAATAAATTCATTGGAAATGCCAAGCACGAGATGCATGGACTTAGCCACAAGGGAACAGTTAGCAGAAACCTTGTGAGCTTACACTATTAGGCTCTCAGGGATCCTAAAAGTGTTAATCATTTTTGTTTTTTAGATTCTAGGAATACTCCTTAAAACCAAACAGGGGGTTTTGTTATTCTCATTTGATGGATAAGTTTCCACCAGTTTCTACAATTTATTAGTAAACTAGAGTTTTAGAGTGTTTCAAGATGATAACAAGGTCAGCAAGATCTCACAAACTGTGAGGGTCCTCTTTGCTGGTAACAGCAGTGGAGCAAGCTGAACAGATGGGAGAAAAATCTATTTGTGAGCATAAATACTTCACAATGTGACTGAGCAACAATCCCAGGTCAGTGCGGTTGGTGTTTCAATAACTGAAGTGCTACCCTTTAATGAGAAATGAAAAAGTCAAAACTCTGACAGTCCTGAGAGATGCTTTATGCATTGCTTCTACCGTGATGGGGCTGGCTCATTAAGAAACCATACAATGCATGGCTAATTACAGAGAAACAATGCAATGGATGAGACTTTTTTTTTCAAGAACACAAGGAAATAACAGACCATCAAGAGTACAGGAAAGGAAGATAGGATTGAATGAGATTGGGCTATCTTTGAATCCTATCTCCAAGTATTCATAACAGGAAAGAATTTGCCTTCACAGAACTTTAGTTTCCTAACTTTAAAAATAGAGTAATATCCACTTCTCACTGGAGATGTTAAATGAGATTAATTTTAGTTCAATCAGTTGGAGTTTAAAAAGAAAAGTCATCAAGGAAAACCCGTTTGGTTACACAATTCTTCAGGTAAGACAAGACTTTGTGTTCATTAGCAGATGGCAGGGATTTTAAAGAAGAAGCACCATGCTTTTCTGAATCTATTCAAATGGCAAGTGATTAACACTGTGGATTTCGTTAGAAGCCAAATTAAGCTTCTTTCCCATGCTATGCCACTGTTATGCAGGATGCATGCTCTGGGCAGATTTCACGCATTTTTGTCATTGGGTTGGCAGAAATGTCAAATGCCAGATTTGAAAGATGAGGCTATCTACAGATGCTTGCATAATACAGTTAAGCAGAGAAACAAAAGTTAAAATATGCCCTGGCCAGTCCTGTGTGCTAGATGGCTTCAGTTTCTGCTTTCAGGTTCCCTCTCCTCCCCATTCCCACTGCCCTGGGTACATACAAACATCTGTCTACATCTACTAGGGCTCTCTTGATCTCTAGTTTCTGGATTGAGCTCAGTTAATGGGACCCTCCACACAAACTGTAGATGAGAATGAATTACAAGAAAGCAAACCCCCGCCCATGCCACCCTTTGTGTGGCTTTGTCCCAGGCAGGTTGTGTCTGGAGACAGAAGTCCCGAGTTTCTGAAGGTCAATTCTCCTCATACCACTTCACTGTCATTAGGGTCCATCTTTCCCTCCTTTGCACTCAGGGGTAAGGGTGGTGACAGTTCCCACTGCATTGTCCACATATGTGTATTATGATGAAATATATGCATCTGTCAATGTTTCAGAACAAAAATGATCAAACATTGGCAATTTCATATGCAATGTAATAATTACATCATTAAACTGTTTCTCTTGAATTGAATTTATAGCAACTGAACTTCAGCATCATGAGAATAGCAACTAGCTAATACTTATACTTCCCCAGTTGACTCAAGTGTAGTCACATTCAGAAACTATTATGAGGAGCACAATCTTAGAGAAAAAGAAAGAATGTTAAAGACAAGCGTGAATTATTGTAAGCAACCCTAAGGAAAATTTTGGCAAAAGGAATCCATGATAGTTCTTGGTGAAAGCCAAGTGATTTGACTTCTCAATAATACATAGAACACTGGTGCACATGGCATGAGTTTCATGTCTGTCTGTCCAGTAGACCTTAGCTTTTTTTTTTTTTTTGGATTTTTCTATGTTGTACAGATCTTTTCCAAGCATGTAGACATAGAACTTGACCATATTTGTGTGATTCATTTGAGTAAATGCACACGTGCTTACAGCTGAGGTGACTACAAAAGCCGTTCTTAGCTGCATAACAATGAAATAATTGCTATCTTGGCCCGTGTATAACAATCAGTGGCAAACTGAGGTTTACTGGGAAGCACTGGTACACTGCTATGGTGTGCCTAGTGTTATTTGCATTCCCAAGAAGTGCTCGATATTCTTCTCATAGATATTAATAGATCATTAACACTGATAAATGATTGTTAGTCATAAAACATGATTTATTGCACAATTCTTACTTAGCTATGTTTCAATGATTCCTGCCCATTTTAACATATAACAATTACTTTCATGAACCACTAATAGGCTTTCGTAATGCAAAACTCAACCACAGAAGTAAATATGATCATAAGCAACTGATTAAGTCAACCATTAGCAACATGTTCAATATTTACAGGTACTGTGTTCTTTCCAATAAAACTAGAATCAAAGCCTGATAGTGCTTACCGGATCCCGTCGCACCAGATCGCCATTGGGCACGACCTCAACCAGGTGGATGATGATAATGATAGAGTTCAGAATGTAAGTAAGAAACATGTTCTTGTGCAGCGTCACCCTTTGGCATCTGAGGTTCCTGCGAGACAAGCAGTATAAAAAGCATTAAGTGTTGTAAACATGCTGACATTTCTTGGTGAGAATGTTTTATAATTCAGATTTTCAGAGGAAAGCCTTAAAATCCATTTTTCCATTGGCATTTAGTGACGTTCTTTTCTCATACAGGCTTCCTATCATAGCTGGAAGATTGAGTGGGAAAATTCCTTTTAATGATAATAAACGCCATAGAACTAAGAGAAAGGCCGTTAGTAAAGTAACAACGAGGGTTTGTATGTGCTTCTAATTCCAAGTCTACTCTCCACTGCTGTGAGCAAGCAGGAGACATGCAGCAAATGTGAGGACACTGTGGTCACCACCGCTGTGACAAGGCACAGGATCCATGTCGTGAAGCCATTTCAGTGCTTCCTACCCTCCCTCTTTCGTCATTTTCTGCTGGTGGAGCTTATTCATCAACAAAGAGTTCTAAACGAGATCAGATTCGCTCTCACACTTGGGCCAGAGTATGCTTTGGGTCTGATGAGATTGACAACTGCTGCTCCTGCTTGGCACAATCCTTTCCCACCTTGTATGCGCAAAGCAAGTTTCTGGGTTTCCTCTCCGCTTCACTGACTCGTACATATGAGCTAATTATGTTGATGTTCACATGAAAACAGAAGTTTGAAAGTGCCAAAAATTCAATGTGAGGTAATTATACATAGGTATGTCTCATATGACAAGGGAATATATATGTTTGGGTTCAGTACAGATTTTTATACTCAAATAATTCCTCTTCAATCTTGCCACTGTTTCCCCCTCTCTCTCTCTTCATAGCTCTGTCTTCCTGTGTGAATACTATGCCATGGAATGAATGTCAACCGGTATCTGTGCTATTCGTAATAGGAAGTTTGAAGAAAGCAGAACTGTTTGATACCGTCAATTGAATGGTCTTTCTGGAGGACCAGGAAGTCCTCCAGAGAAGTATAATGATGAACACTGCACAAGACAAAATTGCTTCTTCATACAAAATGCAAATATGGCAGGGGATGACAAGTAGTTTTTGTTTATGATAAATACTTCTTCCTGATGCCCCATGGAGACCTGTTTTTAACATCTCCATGATCACATATGTTTTTGTCAACTGAGGAGACGTGCTCTGTCTTCAGATATGTATTTTTAAAACACAAAAGGTAATGGGTATTTTAAATATTTAGCAATCATAAAAATATGGGTACCAAGCAGTCATAATGAAAGCTAATTGATGTTCTAATATGCATGTCTAGATAGAACAGGTGGTATGCTTAAGTATTTAAAATTATTTCATGGAAATGATGAGTCACAAGTAGAACATATAGTGTATGGGAACTCTTTGTAAGCCTGCTAGAGATCACCAGGAACCAAATTCAAATGGGTGCCTGCTTGTGTGGCTGCCTCACAAGAGTCTTTCTTTCCCCAGAATCCCCTTTATCAGCTCTGTGGAGGTTTTCTATCGCTGAAGTAATCTAATGCTCTTATTTAATTTTTTCTACTGTTATTTTTATTTTTCTGGCAAAGGTCACAGACCAAATACCATCCAAAAGAGGTTATCCTATATCATTAACTGACAAACATTATAACCTGCAGAGACTCCTGAATATTATTCAAATTTTTATACAGTTAAGATCTTGAAGCCACTAAATCTTTTATATAGTGGGGAAAAACAGAGAAACTTAATTTTTTCTCTACAAGCATGAATTGTGTATGTGTTTTAACATAAAGTTTCTAGTGATACAACAAGCATGATTCTTATTTGTTTCAAGCTTATATGCTTGCCTTCCACCTTTCTTTGTAAACTCAGAATAAAAATCACAGTTGGATTAGGCACATACTTCAATGGTTTCATTCTAAGTAATATTTCAAAATTATTAGTAAAGTCTCCTCCACAGCCTACTGAATAATCGGTCATTTTTAATTCCTCTGCAGGTTTCTTTAGCCTGCTGGCTTGAGGATGCCTGCAGGGTTCTTCCCTAGAACTGACTCAGTAAGATACATTTGAAGCTTCTTGCTGGCTCCAGAGTGGGATTTCAACAGGATGATTATGGATGGGGTACCAGTCCTCCAGGTCTCTATTGTTAGCCAGTGGCAAGCTCCAGTCTCTGACCCCCAGACAGGCTTTATTTGTGCAAGAAAGATATCACCACAAGCACAGAATCGAGCAAGAAATTGATGATGATTTTTCTTTTGCACAGGTTCCACATAAATGATGCAATTAAGTGCACATATCATAAAACTTTCGATTGTAATGTGGATTAAGGATCTTGAAAGCGATGTTGATCGTCTGAAAAAATGCTAGGAAATTTCCCTAGTTAAAAGACAGATTCCAGTGACAGGTCAGCATTACTCTTCACTTTCACAATTCACATTTAATGATTTAAGAACACAAATACAGGAAAACATTAGAAGAGCCAGTCACGTTGTTTAATCTTAACAAATGTCCTCATCAGTTTGGGTTAGGTACTTTAAATAAATGGTTGAAAACAACAATAAAACGTGTAGACAATTGCTTTGGGGTATGGATCTCTGGCGTTATGGTAGTGATGTTCTGTGTATATCATCATTTCTTCTTGTTGCTTTCTTAAAGAGCCAGATACTTCGTCTTGTGTTTTCTCATTATTAGACTCAGACTGTGAATCAGTTATATGTGTCTCTCTTTCCTAGGTTTAGGTTGCTTTTTAGTAGCTCTGGGAATTGGGAGGCAGTGGACCACATTTGGTTCTTCCCTGATGATCGGCCTGATGTTATGTGAAGGGTATGACGAGAATAATTTTCCCTTGGGACTGAGTTGCGAAATATTTCACTTTGCCCATGCACTGAATTTACAGACATTCATCTTGAGTAGCTTAATTTAGAAACAATGGTTTAAACAGCATTCTTCTTTTCTTTTTTTTTATTTGACTCTCATACCTTATTATACATTTAAATGACAAGTAAAACAAGGACTCAAAATATGGCCTCTGCCACTTACCTTTGAGCCACGGCTACATTTATTATTGTGTGTGATTAGAATTTTGGAGAATTTTCATTCTTTCACTTTTCTTGTGGTTTAATTAAAAAAGAACTCAAAGGTAGGCTTTGAGCATCATGCTTCTTAATGAAAGCTGTTGTGAGTCATGATTTATTTATTTACCATGGTAAAGAGCAATTGAGAAATTAAGAGACATTCCGAAATTAATCATGTGTTGTGATTACTCTGCTATGTTCTGATCATCATAATTGAAAATGCTCTTCTAATTCTAGTAATTAATTCTCTGTGTCTTGTTGTCTTATCAGTCCTTCTTCTGTCAAACCTCTTATGGAAGGAGCTTATTGATGATGTGCTAATTTACTAATCACTAAAATTGGTTAGGTGTAATATTGAAAATATAAGAATTGTGAGTATGACAGAGATAAAGATTTAAAAGGGATCAAGGAAAGGTATCTTGCTAAGGATGTGTTTACAGGTGATTATTTCCCCTTATGTTAATTGTCTTTAGTATTATCAAGGTAATATTTTAATAAAAATCAAATTAATGTTTATTATTCTACCTATGAGTCATTATATATTTGATTACATGTAACATCATTTGAGCATGGGGGATTATTTGGATTTGAAACTCAAGAAAAACTCTCCAGAATTTATGTCATTTCACAGTCATTATTAGTACTAACAGCAACAGCGGTGATAGCAATGATAACTATATTAACAGTTATATATATTGATTTATATTTTGTGTTACTCAATAATCTAAGTACCAAATTGTTCCTACCGATATATTTTGTTTTCAGTTTCTAGTTTACTTAACTGTAGTGTCTCTATAAAGAATGCACATGTGGCTTACTTTAAATTCACACTGGTAGGTAGTGGGTGCCGGTGGAGTCTCTTCCTCACACTGGTAAATATAGGTAACACAGTCAGTGAGGCATAAATTATGGGTGCTTTATTCTGATAAATGTTCAATGTGCATAAGCATTTGTAACTTATTTTTGTTTGAAGTATGTGTAGATGTGTTTCTGTGTCTGGAGGGGTTGAGAATGCAACTGTGTGCATGTAAGTGTGGGGATCAGAGGTCAATATTTGAGTCTTCTCAGTGTGTTCTCTATTTTTTGAGACATGGTCTCCCATTGAGCCTGGAGCTTGCCCTTTCAACTAGATTGGAAACTGGGATCCTAGAAACCATCTATCTCTATTGATTCCCCACTGCTGGGTTACAGACAAGTTGCACCTGGATTTTTACATGGGTGCCAGGAATCTGTACTCAGGTTCTCATATTCTCATGGTAAGCACTTTACTCAGAAGCCTCTTTCCAGATCCAAGAGTTCAGAATATAAAGCATAGTTATTTAAAAGATTTCTGAAGATTTAAAGTCATTTAAAGAGGACATGATGTCTTAAATAGATTGCTTTTTGTGTATGTTTTTCTCATGCTTGTTTCTGTTTTAATTGTTCATGTATTAAAGAAAAAACGCCATTTGAATTAGGTTTGGCAGAGATAGTCTACTCTGGTTGCTTATTATTTATAATAAAACCAATGTGTCTGTGAAGTCATAGCAGATACAATTGTTAGACAATTTCTATAGGCTATTCCATCAATTCGACATTTGTGTTTCTCAAATATTGGTGGTAGGCATCTCTAAGAAGGAAATATTTACATGAACAAAATAAATAACCCCTTCCCTGCAAGCTGGGAATTCCATGGAATATCCATAGCACTTGTTTATGTACATATCAGATATTTAGCTGTTGTTCAATATTTAGCTCATTTTTTATAAAGAAAACAACTTGTATCTATTCTAGATATTTTCAAAGGGTGGGATTTTTAGTTTTATTTTTTATTCATTTTACATACCAACCACAGTTCTCTCTCTACTCCTCTCTTCCCCCTGGCCCTTTCCTTTCTCTAACCTACTCCTATCCACCCCTCAGAAAGGGTAAGGCCTCACATGGAGAGTCAACAAAGCCTGGCACATTAACTTGAGACAGGACCATGTCCCCATTCATTCCCCCATCCCTGCATCAAGGCTGAAAATTAGCAAGAAAACTGGTAAATGGACTTTTACTGTATGTCTACAGGGTCCTTATGCGTTTGCCAAATTAATATGGGAAGGAGGCACATTGAAGATGATAAGGAATAGATTTTACTCTCTTCAGAGTAGAGTTCAAAGTATATTTAGCTTATTTCAGTTTTCTTGCTAATTTATCATGCCCAGTGGCACATGGCCCTACAATGCCCATAACCCTACTCTTTTAAGAGTTACTATTATTCATGTAAATGTAAAATTAATAATAATATGATGATTATGGAGAAATGGAGGATGACACTTTAAGAACTTTTCTTATGATACTGCCTTGCTGGGAACAAAGACATAAAGCTTACACTAGAGTAAAAATTTAGTGCTATTTTAAATGTACTTACTTGAAAAACAAGAATATCCCCATGGAAGCAACCAAAGCAGCAATCGACAAAGAGTGACCAACGAGAGCCAGGTAGTACAGGACATATGCATTCTAGAACAGAAAGGGTTGGGAAAGCATCTAAGTAGATGAACCACGTCTGTGGAAGAACAGTAGTTCCTAAATGTGAGCATAAATCAATAAAAGTCTACCCCTTAAAACTTATCTTAAAATTATAACAAATACTTCAGAGGATGAAATTATTTTTTCTATATTAATGTTGTATATAGAAACAAACTGAGCCACTTTCAAAGACCAAAATTTCTTGAGACAAATATTATTCAAAATATTTCAGAAGTGATTTTAAATGAAAGCTATTATCCCTAAGCTTAGTAAGCAATCTAGGTAGATTTTAAGTCCTGGGGTACTGTTATCAGCAATAGGTATATCTAATTTACTTAAGTGTAGATGAAAAAAATCTTTCCAGATTCTTCAGGCCCTTGACACTTAGAACAACTCAGAGATTAGAGAGATTGGTGTAGTTTTTCCACATTTAACTCAATATTCAAGGAGATGTACCTTTACATATCAATTTAAATGAAAATTCCCATTAGTATTTCCTTGGCTGAAGAAGACAACATTCTCCTTGAAAGCAATTTGCTATTTCTATTCTTTATATAACTACAATTAACTCATTTCTGTTCTCCTGCTGTTATGTTAGTTGACTTGAAAGAGTATCTTCCTTAGTAAATTCATAACATTATGGTTTATTTTTCCATGTCTGGTGCCTGAAGGAAAGTATTTCTTCTCACAACCATTGCTTTTTTACATGTAGCCATAGTGTTTGAGGAGGCCAAACATAGCGACACTGAGAGTAATTTATTTAATTCGCATTGCTCCTCACACTCTAACTAACATAGTTATACTTTTCTATATGACTCTAATTAGCACACGCCCATGAAATTCCTTACACAACCACATCACTTTCATCAGACTTCATTAAGTGGCTAGTTCTACATTAGGATATAGACATATATATATATATATACATATATATATATGGCATGGAATAGCTAAGCAATTTGTAAAGGGGCCACAGGCTTTGGTGACCTCATCTGATCTTGAAGGTGGCCCACTAGTGAACTGGTCTTTATTTACTTTGGTTTCATTGTGATATGTGTCTCAGTTTTAATAAAGGAAATCATATGCTTCTGGACTTTTCAACAGCAAAACAAAGCATGAGTGCTTTTAGTTTCTGACTCAGGAGTTACTTAATGCATAGGCCTTTCTTTGATGGAAGTGGCTGATCCATGTTGTAGCTAGCAGAATCCTTCAAAGATTCTGTTTATAGTTAAATATTGATGTTATTTCTCCCAGCTCTCAAGGGTAAAGGTAGATTGAGTAATATTTTCAGATTTTTAATGTAGCTAAAGACAAAATAGTATCTTTTTCTCTCCTCAATGAATTTAAATAAATGCTTTTAAGCAAAGTTATTATTAAAAGAATTTCACAGCCTGTGAGGCATGAGTATTAACAAATCAGAGTTAACAACTCTAAAAATTGTCTGAATTGTCCTCACTATATCATTGGGTTAATGGGAAGCTCTGCCATACCGAATAGTAAAGTTAAGATCGTATTTAACATGTGTGTTAAGAGAATGTAACTTTAGCTTGTTGCTTTCTGAAAATCGAAGGTTCTGGCACTCTCTCAGGAGAAGAAAGAAGTGAGTTCCTTAAGATGCTGCCTAATTCCTGGCACCAGAAGAAAACATCTTCTCTGTGTACAGTATTGTCTTTGCTGTAATTGGCCTGATTCTACATTCAAGCAAAAGTACTGATACTGAGTACCAACAAGAAGGGAAATGCTATTGTGTTCTTCAGAAGCCCTATTTCTGTACATAGAAATCTGCTGGCCTTTTGTTTGTTTTCTTGCTTGTTTTGTGGGTTTTGGTAGCAGATATTTCAGTTTTACATTCCTTTCCATGTACGAACAATGGCACTCTCATATAATACTGAAATTTTAAGTAGAACTTACATTTAGTTTCTCAGAAGTGAAAGCATTACACAGAGTATAGTTGGACCAGGTTCGATTGCTGTCAGGGTGTTTAAACCATTCTCCATTTTCATCACAGTACTTTGAAACCTTTTCTGTTAATAGAACAGAATGGTGGTGCATTAGTATCTCAAATCCCAAGAAGGAATGTAATAGCCTAAAGCTTATAAGCTATTCCTAACAGGGAATCACACTGCAGAACATGAATATAGAGATAACACAGACCATCTTGTTACTTGGACATTTAATGTGATAGTGAGTCCAAGTGTAGGACCTCATATGCCTCCTTGGTAAATGTTCCTGTTTACACTGTGGCTTATTCTTGTGCACTACAGTCTCTTTAGGGTCCCAATACTGAGTTCATTCTTTCACTATTTGATTTTGTGTGGTATATGTATGTATATATGTTCCTGTGTGTGTGCATGCAGTGTGTATAGAGGTCAGAGGTAGATGTCTTAGGGATTTTCCCCAATTGTTCTCCAACTTATCCTTTGAGACAGGATCTCCCAATGAAGCTGGAGCTCACCAATTTGGACAACCTGGATGGATACTTGTGCCTCTGCCTTCCCAGCATTAGGATTTAAAAGTGTGCGTCTGTGCCCGGATTTTAACGTGGGTGTTGGGGAACAAACTCACATATTCCTGCTTTCACAAACTTTCTGACTGAGGGTCCTCAGCCTAGCCCCATATGTCTTTTACTAAGCACTTCTTCAAAAGTGAAACCCCTAACATTTCATTGGGACATTTTTGTGCTACTAAAGATGTGGCCCTATGTCATCAATAAAGTCATAAAGAATTGAAATGTGAGCCGGGTGTTGGTGGCACACGCCTTTAATCCCAGCACTAGGGAGGCGGAGGCAGGAGGATCTCTGTGAGTTTGAGGCCACCCTAGTCTCCAGAGTGAGTTCCAGGACAGCCTCCAAAGCAATACAGAGAAACCCTGTCTCAAAAAACAAAACCAGACAACAACAACAACAAAGAATTGAAATGTGTTGAGGACAGACATACTGAAAATGTGCTTTTCTTTAGAAGTGAATTTGTCTCTTAGCTAATATGGCTCCATCTAAAAACTAGACTGAAAAGATGGATCATGACTGGAAATCTCCACTTTGCTTATCAAAACCTTGCATTTAAGTCTATATTTATAGCTACTTTGGCAAGAGCCCATTGCTACTAACCTCAATTGCAGAACAGCTTTTTTTTTTTTTGTTCCAGTCATGTCACCTTAAACAAAATTGTGGACCAAGATAAATGAAGCATCATTTGTTGGGCAGAGATAATAAGAGCCTGAAGGACTCTCATCAGGCAGCATTTTGGTTCCAGTTTACAGGAAGGCAGCTCAGAGTTAGGGCACCGTACAGAGCCTTTTCTTTATATACCTTCCTTCATAACTAAGACATAAAATGAAACTAAAGACCTTACCGGTTGTGTCAAAGTCTGGAAAGTAGTCTGGGCAATGCTGATAGGCAGTTACTCCAGCCGGAGTGTCATCCCAGCACAGCCATCCATCCCAGGTACGGTTGCAATAGGCGCCTGGGAATTTAGAAAGGAATTCATATCAGAAGATGTGATTTAACTAAAAGACTGTTTATATGAAGTTCTCAGAGGGCCGGTCCTACTACTTCAGTCTAGACTAATCATATTTCAAATGAGCCATTCTCATCAATTTTGGAAATAAACTTTAAAATGACTTCAGCTTTTCTATGGGAAAATATCTCATTGGATGACAGGCAGGGCTCTTGTTTTGCTTTGTAAGAAGTTCTGAAGCTGGGCTTCCCATAAAACAAGTAGCTCCAAACACTGTATTTTGGTCCATTTATTTAAAGTGGAGGAAATCTAAAGTGTTGCTCAGAAATCAATCAAATGGGCTCTGAGGTATGTTTTAAGCTTTTACGTATAAAAATCTTACCTTTTAAAAAGTATTCAACCAAGAAGTTGAATGTAAATTGTAATATGTAAGGTGAGGCACATTCTACTACCATTTACCGCATAACGGTTTGAAAGAAAATTCAGTGAAGACATTATTTATCAAAATTTATGACAGAAAGTAATTCCTCAAAAATGTAAAATAAATTTACATGGAGATGAGGATATTTTCTAACTTAATAAAGCTATCAGTGTGATGCATCTAATAAATATTTGTTAAGTTATTACTTAAAGCACACTTTTTATTTTTTAGTATAATAGAGTATATTTAATCATTTTCCCCCTTGCTATGCAGCTTTGTCCTAGAATGTTCAAGGTTATACTAAAGTCTTAATCGAATCTTTTCAAGTGTTTCACAGACACAGAAAAGAATTCAAAAGGCTGTGTTAGAGCTTGGCTGTCAAACATGCTTCCATTTTATTTTTCCCTGGGTCTTCTATAGCAAGTAGACTACGCTTAGCCCTGAAAATATTTGGGCTGTTACAAAGATTACTCTAAAGGAGGACATAGATTAACAATGCAACTTATTTCCTCCTCTTATTCCCCATGGAACTGGGGGGTGGGGTAGCAAGAGAGAAGGAATAGCAGAGGTTGTCAATGAAGTGACATCAAAGGAAAGGTACGCCTAATTAATCCAAACCAGACAGGGTTGCCCAGGTTCTGCCTCAGGCAGATTCTCTGCTCATCACTTTCTGTTTCCCTGCCATCATTCAGTCCTGCATTGTTCCTACTTATTAGGTGTGAATGCTGAGTTATTGTGGTAATTTTGTCAGAAGGGCAAATGCCAGCCAAAATGATGTTAGATGAAGTAGGGTGAAATCATCATATCTGCTGCACAAAATGCACAAGCACACTATAATGTGCTTCTGTGTATTCCATTCCAGCTATTCCCCACTGCGTGCCTTAGGAATAAACACTCTTCAGTGATGTTTCACACATAGGTTCACATGAATTTTCTTACCTTCTCCCTCATATGGGGGCAGCTCCTGAATTCGGTCATAGCATTTGTACTGGGCGTCCAGCAGTTTCTTGCGTCCAACCAGGTACAGGAATGAATCGTGATTAGGGGTGGGTTCACTGTAGTTAGGGGTGGGTTCACTGTAGTTGGGGGTGGGTTCACTGTAGTTAGGGGTGGGCTCACTGTAGTTGGTAGGAGCCTGAAGAACTGGAGTTGGGCTCTGTGTAAAAGATAAAATCATTACTTACAAAGGAGATCATAAATTAGCACATAAATAAATGTGATGATTTTAAAAGTATGAAAACCTTTCTTTTTCATTTTATAAGCAACTTTCATGCAGAATTTCACATAAAATTTTCTATGCTAAAATGCATTACACTTCACATTCAAATTCTATCCATTTATATTTTTGAACCAATATCCATTTGCTATTGAGAATGTAGAGCAATCATACACACTCACACACACATCTTGATCATCTCCTACTGTTTCAATATTATTGTGTTTGGAAAGTTTATACGTAAGCAAAGCAAATAATCTGATTTTCAAGACATCTCCATTATTAAGCCAACTTTCCCTCTTTGAAAATCTTAAGAATCATGGCTCACATATTAAAAATAGAAACTGTGGAATAAATATGCTTCTTTAGTGAATATTTTCGGTTAAGTTTTGCTCAGGTGTGGATTATATGCTCTGCCAAGATTTGCCTCATTTATCCCTCAGAATAAACAAAATAACTGACTTTAAGACCTTCAAATTCCTTCCATTAGCACTTTACCTACACATAGTAATTCATTTTCAGTGAGAAAAGCAAATGTAGTTCTTAAATATCTATACTGGTACATCAGGTTTCAGAACAAGTGGACATTTTTTCCACTTAATCACTGTCATAGGTCTTAGCCTCCTATAAGTTGTGTGTTTGTACACATGTGTATGTGTGTGACTATCTACTGAGACTGACAAGCCAACCATTACTGAGGATTCAGTGCTGAAGCAAACGGGTGTGAATCCTGCCCTCAGGGAGCTTACAGTCTAGACACACAAGCACTACCCATGTTCCTGACGCCAGACACTGAGAACAGTGACCTCCCATCAGGGCACGCTCAGATATCCTACGAGGAGGAATTAGAATATGTTTTGTTCAGTTTAAGAGAGTCCTCACTTTCGCTTTTTGTTTTTGTATCTAATTTTCTCACATTTGTATGAATAGATGTGAGTGTATTTTAAAAATCCAAATATGACAGGACCATCACAGAAGGGAAGATTTACAGTCCCTTGCAGGAGAGAAATTCATAGCATATATATTTTAGAAACCATTTGGGGCATCACTTGAAATTTTTAATTGTGGACATCTTCTCATTGTCTTCTAATTAAAATTAGAAGCTAGAATTTCATATATATATGGATATGTATTTTATACTAGAAATTTTAGACATTAGGGATTATTTTTCTTAGGTATGGATCTTTCCAAAGCCACATTCTGAATTCTGTACTTAAATGTTTAGCAGCTCCTTAAGAAATGTTCTTGTATTAATTGGAAATTCGTGGGAGCCTGGGGGGAATATTATGTGTTATAGATGCTAAATAGAAAAACTCTACACCTGTGTTTTCAGTGGCATCTTTATTAGGTTTGACACATTGTCACATCAGTACACGTTGGGATAGCATGTGAGAATAAGTATGGTTCAGCTGAATGGAGTAGTTTCATACTTACCATTCTTGCAATATTGAAACAAACCCCAGTGAACTTGGTTTGGAGCTTGGCTCATTAGAGATTGTTTCAACACTGAAAGAATGAAAAATCAGAACCTCTGTTGTCAGTTGAGTCACAGCATTCTAGGCCTGTTCCTGGTCTGGTCCTTGCTTGAACATTGAAGATGGGATGTTCTCAGTGGTTCCTGAATCTCTCAATGACTTTCTTCCTAAAAATCACATGCAACTTGGGGTATTCCATTTACAGATGGATGGATGGATAGATAGGCAGATAGAGACATGAAAATGCAGATAGAAATATATAATATATTTCTAATCATGAAATTAGTTCAGCTTAAAACAACACACATATATAATTTTCACATTGTTAAACTCTTATAAAAATTCCATGCAAGTAAAATTGTTAATGACATAGTATTATTTTTAACAGTAAAAAGGAAAAATAAACCCAGAAGTGATCTCATGAGACAATCAAGCAATATGGAAGATACGAAGGGATTCTACTAATTTTAAGTATTGTGCAATGCTATGAGCGATTCAACAAATACTTGATGCCATGCTTATAAAGGTATCAGTGAAACATGAGCATGTTACATGGATGCTTCAAAACCAACCGACCAACTGACCTACCTACCTACCTACATACCTACCTACGTCCCTACATCTTAATTGTTGTTCCATGTAGCAGTTTAGTAGCCATACATGTTATGTCATTCTGGAAGACTGTAGAAAGTGACATCACACATATGACAACCAAGCTGCCACAGCAGCAGTCAGCAGATGAGGCGTCACAGTCTTTTTATGCAATAAATACTCAAAATATTTCCATATGCCAGACCCTGTTGTAGGTTCTGAAAACTCAACAGTGAACTTGGTAGCATGGTTTCTGCCCTCATGGAGTATACAGTCTAGATGGTTTAGTTCTTGCTGAGCACGAATGACAGAAGCAAATAACCTTAAGCAAAATGACTACAGACTAAGGTAACTCCTACTTGGTTATGAGACCATCTGTCTTTTGGGGTTACCAGTGGTGTCTAGAAATATTGTAACAGTTAGAGTCTGTTTAGTCTAGAATTTCAAAACAGTCCCCTTCTTCTTGTTTCCAGCTCCCTGGATGCATGCCACTTTGCTGAAGGCATCATTGCTTGTGACTGTGTCAGGCACAATTGTTCACAAAAGTATGTATTTATTGAGTTTCTTAAACATTTAATGAGAGGGAAGTGTTAAAAACTTATATTGATTATTACTTATTGTAACATATTAAGTGGTCCCATTGGAGCCCGTAAATTAGAACAATTAAAACAACAATTATAAGAAAGAATATTAGCTAAGGGTAGAAATTAGCATAATTAAGAAGATTTCCAAGTCACCATCCTTAGCGCTGAGTGTGTATGTCACGATTACTTGTGATTTTTTTTAGTTATACTTTTCAAAACAACTGAGGAGCAGATACAGTGCTCTAGTGTATTAACCCCATTTTCCTATTATGATCAGATGCCTGCTTGGTGTCCTGATTTTTGGGGGAGCACAACTAAGTAGTCAAATAATAACAAAAATTCCCTTTCAAATTAGATTCATATTTACTCAAAGACTGGAATTTTCTTTCTTTACTTATGCAGGTGAAGAAGTTTAGGTGGACTTGCAAACCTGCCACTTTGCATGGTAAAGAATGGATAAACGATGTCCTGGAACCCATTTCAATCCTTGTTTGGGTACAGAGCATGAGATTTACTGACAGCTGTGATCCAGCTTCAAATGCTGTTCAAGGTGGTAACAGAGCAAGGATTCAGACAACTCTCATTTGCTAATCTCCCTTTTGCATAAGACTGAAGGTGATGTGGTGGGGTGTTGATACAAACAGATGTTTGTGGCGCTGTCTCAAGAAATTACACTTCTAGCAGGCTAAATGTCTATGAATTGAGCAACATGGAGTTCTGTCATATGAACCTGATTTAAAAAGCTGCAGAAGAATTACAGAGTGCCAGTGGTCCCTCAAGTACCAATGATTCTAAGTTTTGATCAGAAATATATCAGGCTTAGTATAGAAAAACCCAGAAGCCACGATTCAAGTCTGCATTACGAAAACACACACACAAAAAAACTTATCCAGGAAAATTCTCAACTTTCTGTAATATGGAGATGACTCAAATTATTACTAACTTTTCCAAACAAATGAAATTCAATTGTCTAGATAAACCATGACAATAATTAAAGCGAGCAAAAGTTCAGAGGAAAGACTTGTCAACAGAATATGCGGGAAAGTGACAGTTTGAAGAAACGCGATTTTGGCTTCCTTGCAGTTGTCAGTTCACCCACACTCAGACACTCCTCCCTGCTCTGCACACTCGTTAACACGGCACAGAAGAATTGTCTGCACTTACGATCAGAAGCAGGAACACCAGGGTGAAGCGGTTCATCAACTGGAACCTCGGCCTCGGCTTGCGAAGGTGCCCCCTTTTCCTAGAAAACAATAGAAAAGCAACAAAGATTAAAAAAAAACACAGCTCTGATCTTTACATTATTCCCTCTCTAGACACATTAAATATAAATCACACATGGAAACAAGAACATTGTACCTGTGGCATACTTGCAGGTACATGTTTCATTGTCCCTTCTGTTAACCAGACTGTTGTCCTTAAAATTCTGATTTTATCTATTAACATTTGCTGTCAGCTAAAATGAGATCTTCTGGCTTTTAAAGGTTAAGTTGAATGAAACAGTTTAATACATGTTATAAGAAAGAAGGAAAGATATATATTTGAACATATGTGGGGGGAGCCAAATGAAATATGTATGAATAAGAAAATCAGGTCATGAAATGTATTTTAGAGTATCAAGCAGTATATAGGTACAACTTGGAGACTAACTTTAAAGTTAGTATAATTTACTATTATTTCTCAAGCTCAGCAAACCATGTGTACTATACCATAAAACAAACAATAGGAAACAAAATACAATACCCAGTAGAATGTTTATCAGATGTTCAAATTAGCCCATTAAAATTTATTTTCACTCTGACAATTTCAGTAATTTTTATTACTGATCTATAAGGCTAAGTATAACAGTTGACATATACATAAGACCAATGATGCATACACGACATATTTTCTTGCCACCTTTTATTCTATTATTCATTAGGACTGATTGTTTTCCAATCCACTCAGTAAATTAGAAAAATGCTTGTATGCTAAGGCATTACGGGGAATGTGGGTGTGCTGGGTGAGGCACAGTTCACGTGGTGGAGTTGAGCACTTGGGAGAGTTCAGGAGTCGATACATATCATAAACTATGATGTGAATGATAACTAAAATGTAGACTGGGTTAAACATTCATCAACACAGTGAAAATACAGATTCAGGTAAGAGGGCCAGAGTAAGGCTTATATTTTGAAATATAATAGGAATTCTAAATAGAACTGTGAAGAGATCTCCTAGGAAGAGAAAATAAGAACAAGATGTGGAGATGAGAAAGAGGCTAATTGAAGACTATTAAGTTGAAGAGTCTAATTTAGCTGGAGCATAGCTCCTCGGATGTTGGAAACAAGTCTAGAGAAATAGGCTTTGGAGTATGTAGGAAACTTATTAACTAAGCCACCTTTGTCATTTTTTCATACATGCCACATATCCTGATAGTTTTATTGTATGATAGCCCCACTCAGATAATTGATATTTAATATATCTGTGTATGTCTGGCACCTCTCCTCATCATTTAAGTGTAATTGTTGTTATTATTTATAATGATGCCTTTTTGTATGCTAACAAAATGAAAGAAACATAAATCTGTGAGTTTTTAAATTGTCTTCCTCACCCCCCCGGACGTGGGTGTCAGTGAGGAGGTCTTGGCAATCTTATGGGGCCTCAGGTAGTAGATCAGTATTTATCCCTGACATACAAATGGACTTTAACCCATTCCACATGGAGGGATGCTCTCTCAGCTTGGACACATGGGGGAGGGGGCTAGGCCCTGCCTGGGATGATATGACAGACTTTGGAGATTCCCCCATGGAGGACCTCACCTTCCCTGGGAAGTAAAAGGGGGAAGGGGTGGGTGGACAGGGGAAGAGGGAGGGAGAGGGAGCTGGGATTGATTTGTAAAGCAAGCTTGTTTCTAATTTAAATTAAAAATCTAAAATAAACAATAAATAAATTGTCTTCCTCACACCACCATGGTAATAAGCAGAATTTCTATTTTCTTCCTCACTCTTGTATTTTCCACACCAGAGACTTGTTCAAATTATCTATAAATTGTCTGAATGAGAAACTTGGGATCAACCAAAACTTTCTTTTTCTTGCTATTATTTAATGACCCATTTTCCAGAAATTTAAACCACTTGAAAATATCTTTTTTTTTGACTGATTGGTTAAATACTTCCAAGGATTTTGTGAAATTAACCGGATTGCCTTAACACACTGAGAGATTAAATGCGATTAATGACACAGGCATGGATGGTCAAGTTGGACCTCTAAATATAAAATATGGTGAGAAGGATAATTTTCACCATATCAGTTGTTTCCTCCCATGATCCAAACAGCTAATATTTGAAATTCTGACCTGAGAGACTTTCATCTAAAGCAATCGTTTCATAGTCAATTTCCGTATTGCAATGGAACTTTTAGTTCTAGTGACCAAGCTGTTTTATTAAAGAATGAGTAGTAAGGCTCATGTCTGCATCATGATCCATCTGTGGAAAACAGAGCCAGCAAAATGCTTTCACATAGTCTACATGGGTTATAAATTTAGATTCAACTTAAACAAACACTGGCAAAATAAATGTTAAAATATCAGAAAGGCACAAGGGCAGGATACCATTCAAACAAATTCATAACTTAAAAGGAATTTTCAAGTATAAAAAGGCATTATGAGTGATTTCCTCGTCTTGCCATTAATTAACACTTTGTTAAACACTGTGGAGGTTCACTGTCATGTCATCAGGTTAATTGCAGTTCAGTTACAGTGTGCCATCTCACAACAGAAGAATGTTTTTCAAGGAGCTCTGTGTACATAGCAAATTTGGTATTTAAAAGGAACAGCGAATCTCACTGTAAAGTTTGCTGTGCCATCTACCCACCCACTAATGCACTGATAATCAACCACCCATGACAGAAACATAAAACCCCTAGTCTCATGGTTTATTTCAAAATCAGAAAACAAAACCAATGGCATGTTTCTGGAGGCCAGAGGTAAAAGTCTAGGTGTTGTTCCTTAGGAGGCCTCTCACCCCCCACCCCCACACACATAGTTGTTTGAGACAAGGTCTATTACTGTTTCTGGCCTGGAAAATGCCAGGTAGGCTCAGCTGGCTGTGTTGCAAGCCAAGGGGCCTACCTGTGTCCAGCTCCTTGGCAGTGGGATTTCCAGTGCCTTCTGCCATGCCTGAACTGGGTCACTGTCTCAAGAACCCATTCTTGTACTTGATCACTTCAGCCATTTCCTCAGCCCCCAATGGCACACTTTGAAATTCTACTTAGAAATTATGTCCTTCCTTAAAATCTTTGAAGGGACTATTTAAATCACTTCTACAGAAATGCCTTTACATTTAAACAAGACTCAATATTTCCTGAAAGATAATGCCTATTATATCAAAAGAGATCAGTAGAAGGGTGATGGTCCTAAATGTGAGTCTATTGCAAGGTGTGGTCTACTCTTCTTATGCAATTATACCAAAGGTACGAAATGTTACTGTACCCCATTTATGAAGAAAGACGTTTGGCTCATGCAACACATTTCCCCTACATCAACGTATCTATTGGTGCTTTGATCAGAAAAAGAAAGAGAGCTAGGAAGATAGGGTGGAAGAGTCGAAGGTAGAGGGCAGAAAAAGCAAAGGAGAGAGAGAGAAAGAAAGAGAGAGAGAGAGAGAATATCATAGCATTTCACAGTAGGGCTGTGAAAATGATATTAGAGCTCCTTCAGGTGGTGGGATTGCAACCAGTTTTATTTTCATGTGCTTTGTATCATAATTTTCATGAAATCAGAAATGGCTTTTAAAACAGAAGAGGTGAGATTATGAACTATATTGACTTGCACTGTTTTCTTTAGTTGAAGGAAGGTTCCCTGTGTTAGTTCTATAGAGGTCAGAATAAGAAAGCCATATATGTGTAACAATAATAAGTAAAGAAGGCATGTGGCATGTAGTACACACTTAATATCAGACACTGGGCCTACTCCATTTTTTCTTTTAGAATAGGAATGTAACCTTTATAAGAGCTAATAATTCAGAGAGAGGCCCCATAAACAGTCAGAGACATAGAAAGTCTTTAAAACTCTCATAGAACTAAGATAATAATTGACATTGAGGATATGATTTAGAAAACAACAACAATAATAATGGTAGAAATAATAGTAGCTTATATTATTGATGCTTAATGTTTAAGCACTTTGGATTTACAACTCCATTTAATTTCCACAGCAAAGGGTGTGGTAGGTCCTGTTAACATCCATCTTACAAACAAGGAAAATGAAGCACAGAGGGATCAAGAAGAGAAGAATGAGAAGTTGACAGGATCCATTCTGGGAACATACATTCTGGATTCAACTGAACAAAGATTTTCCCATTAAGTGAGGCAGAGTAAGAGGTAAAAATGTAAGTTGTTGTTGAGGTTTCCTGTCCAGTGTGATATGTCATCTTAGGCTAGCTAATACAACCCTCCACTTTTCATCTAGAAAATGAGTTTTATTAGCTGATATCTAAGGTCCTTGAAACTTGCCACTCACCAGTTCTTATAACTGCTCAAGAAGCTACCGTCTAATCTTTTATATGATGTTATGATCTTTAATATACTCAGAGATCGAGGTTTTCATGAAAATGTACCTGACCTTTACCAATAAGCCAGTTTCTTGTTTAGTCATTAAAAAAATGAGTAAGCATGAGAGAAATTATTTGCCCCCAAAACTGGGATACTGACAACATGGGGATCTAATCTCCATTCTTTTTGCTAACTGAACTGTTTGTTTAAGCTGGGATTCTGTCCTAATAAAAGAATTTGCTATTCTAGTTGTGGCCAAGACAAAGTTTTTTTTTTGAAGAGCCATATCCTATTTCCACACAATGAGAACAAGTTGTTAATTCTGTGTGAATGTCTGGCAATCGTGTTGTTACAACATATATTGAATTTTCAAGCATAAAGTCCCAGTGCTTCTATAGAGTAGATACCATGCTCGTTCACATTTGTCTCTTTACAAGTCAAGGGTAAATGACCTATTCAGGTAGAGACCAAAAAGGGCAGAGTAGAGGTCATGTGAAGACTAACATTCTGATTTATGAACTACTTTAAACTTTACATTTTTAAATTACATTTTGCAATGGACTTCACGTGTGTGATCTCAGTTGTACCTCATGAGAACCATTAATGGGGAGATCAGATATGAACCTGCTTACTTTATAGGAAAGGAAAATGTCATCATGGAAAAAGAGAGCTTGTTTATGTCTTACCATATGCTTAATGCTAGATAGAAGTTTA